CCTCATCTCTACAATAAATCAAAAAATTAGCCAGGTGTGGTAGCACACACCTGTAATTCCGGCTACTCGGAAGGCTGAGGCAGAAGGATCGCCGGAACCCAGGGGGTCAAGGCTGCAATGGCCGGGAGTCGCCATTGCACTCCAGTCTGGGTGACGGAGTGAAACTCCAACTCAAAAAAAAAAAAAAAAAAGACCTTTCTAATCTATTGACTAAGAATCCAGTAATCTGGAGTGTTGAAAGATTGTAAATGTAGGATTTTCTTTATTTTATTTTTTATTATAAAGATGTGGGGTACATTTCAGGGTTAGGCATATAAACATTGATCATGCAGGTACCTTTGTTGATGAGGTATGCCCCTTCCTCCCCTAGCAGTTTCCCTCAACTGCCAATCCCACCCACCCACCCCCGACAGTTTCCCACTACTGCCAATCACTTTCTTATAGCATTGTAATTGTTCAAGGTCAGCTTATGAATGAGAACATATGGAACTCAGTTCTATGTTTCTATGATAAATCACTGAATAAGATCGACTCCAAATCCATCCAAGTTGCTGCAAAGTCCATGTTTGTCCTTCTTTATGGCTGCATAATATTCCATTGTGTATATGTACCACATTTTTTAACCCAGTTCAGTTTTGATGAATAACACAGTTGGTTCCATGTTTTTGCTATTGTGAATAGAGCTGCAACAAACATAAGTGTGCAGGTATCTTTTTTGTAGAATAATTTGAGTTCCTTCGGGTATATTCCCAATAAGGGGATTGCTGGGTCATGTGGAAGATCAATTTCTAGTTCTTTCAGAAATCGCCACACTGTCTTCCAAAGAGGTGGTACTAGTCTGCATTCCCACCAGCAGTGTAGAAGCCTTCCTTTTTCTCCACATCGTCGCCAACACCTGTTGTTATTTGTTTTTTTAATGATGGCCATTCTTACTGGGGTTAGGTGGTATCTCAATGTGGTTTTGATTTGCATTTCTCTGATGATGAGTGAGGCTGAGAACTTTTTCATGTGTCTGTTTGCTGCCCGTATATCTTCTTTTGAGAAGTGTCTATTCATATCTTTTGCCCACTTTTTAAAGGGGCTGTTTGTTTTTTTCCTTTCAGTGCATTTGAGTTCCTTATAGAACCTAGATGTTAGGCCTTTGTCAGACATACAGTTGGCAAATATTTTTTCCCATTCCGTGGGCTGTCTCCCTGCTCTCTTGATGGTTTCTTTTGCTTTACAGAAGAAGCTCATTAATTTGATGAGGTCCCACTTATCTATCTTATTTCTTAAGGTATTGGCCTTTGGGGTGATCAGTAAGGTTCTCTAGATTTAGGCTACTTTGAAATGAACTTATCTGAAATCAGAAAAGAAAAAAATTCCTTTCCAATCGATTGACTAAGAACCCAGCAATCTGGAGTGTCAAAAGATTGTAAATGTAGGATTTTCTACTCTAAGATAAAGTTTGTGTGAACAGAAACAGGGAAGTGGGAGACCAAACAGGACATAAACCTGAAGTTCAACTACAGGCCTAACCCTCCTCTCCTCACCCATTTCTATAATTATTTATTGTCCTTGTATAGTAGACAATCAGCATTTCATGAAGATACAGGGAGGATGTGGCTTTGGGTGGAGGAGAAATTTTAATCACCTCCACGGGGGCCAAAATGGAGGCAGAGGACTCTCATCAGGTGCTGGAGGTAGGTAGGCAGTATTGAAGTGTGTGCTAGAAAGTGCACATTCTCAAACCCAGTTAAAATGTTATGACTGGACAACCTCTTTTTTTCTGATTACCTAGCCTTTAGAGCTGAGCAGAAGGAAATAGATGGAAGCCTACTAACATTAGAAGGAAGGAATTACATTGCCAAAGAAACCACGAGACTGGCCCCAAATAGCCGTTGATTGCTCCATACCTAAGGCAACCCCAGGCTAATTCACACAGACAGGAAGTCAGCAACTCCCAGAAACCAGATCATTTCCAGTGTTCATCCCAGATGTGTCAACGGAGGACATTCCCCCCAGCAGGGAGAGCTAGGAACTATCAAAGAGGCTGGCCAAGGATCTCAGTCAAGTCTCAGACCCTGAAATGCCCAGGAACTGGTTAGCAATCTCATTTCCTGTTCTCCCTTTGCCCTAACAGGGATCTTTGTTCAATTTGCTCTGTTGGTTCATAACACTTGTATTTAGGTAATGTTGGGCACGGTTAAACTTCTCCTTTAGCTTTGGGTTTCTGGACAGGCAAATTTTATATGTCCTGTGATATCTTTCTTGAAAGTCAGAAATGGTAATATCTTCACTGCTTCTATGGGATCAAAGACCACTCCTCCTCTTCTCCTGATAGTCTGTTCACACTTATTAAAGGTGTGGGTGATCACAGTGTAGGGGAATGGGGAATCCCCTCATAATGGAAGGGAATTGTAAAATGTTGCATGGGAGAAGCTCTGTGTGTGTGTGTGTGTGTGTGTGTGTGAGAGAGAGAGAGAGAGAGAGAGAGAGAGAGAGAGAGAGAGAGAGGGCACGCACTGTGAAAGTCTTGGTCAAAAGGGCTTGTTTGTTGCTTCGTCCTCATTATATAAAAGCCATCATAGCATCAAAATTCTGTAAGCCATGGTAATCTCTATTCTTTCTGTGTCAACTCACAATCCTGGCCAGAAAGTGTTTCTAACTGATGGCAAATCACCCATCAAAAGAGTAGAGTAAGATGAGACCAGAGGTGAGCAATATAAGCTCAAGAAAAATAAATAAAATATTTAAAAGTGCAGAAAATAAAGAAGAAAAATCCCCATTCCTTAAAAAATTCCCATTTCCTCTAAGAAATGACAGCTAATTTTTGTGTATTTTTCCATATATTTGCCTATGAAAATGTGCATATATATATATATATAACTCTTAAAAATAAAGATGACAACAATATTCTACAAAGAAAAAGACTTTCATGCAGAACTCCATCGCACATATGTAGAATATATATGCACATGCAAAATGCAAATAGATATATAATATTATGAACACTTTCCATAGATATAGATATGCATTACCCTTTTACTGACTGCAGAGTATTCCATTGATGGGTATCCTAATTCTCCACTAATTTTATCCCCTACTGATGATTGCTTGCATTTGTTTGCTTTTTGCTAACCGCTTCAAAGAATATACTGTGTCTACATATTCCTCTTTTTTGGCACTATTTCTGTAAAATGGATTCCTAGCAATGGGATCAGGTCAAATAGGATGTAAGTAAAATATGTATACCTTTCATGTCTGCTAAATAATACTGTTTAATTATACTTTAACAAGTTTGATCATTAAATTTCTAAACATTTTTAATACAAAACTTAGATTATTTTAAATAAAATGAAATAATCATGGCTCATAAAAATTAATACGTGTCTGGTTTTCACACAAGTCTTTTGAATTTCTCTTTCTTCTACAAAAAAGGACCCTAGCTCCACTGTGCATTTCTTTTACTTGTAACTCAAGCATTCCATCTATTAAATAGCCTACCTTTCACAGCAAATTTTCTTTTTGAGTCGGGTTCTCAGTTTGTCACCCAAGCTGAATCATGGCCCACTGTACATCTATAAACAGCATCTTGCTTCGCCTAAAGGCTAGTTGTCTTTTCCTTTTCTAACATTAGCTAATTATTGTGTGAAGCATGGATTCTAGAGAAATAATGTCCAATATATCTGTTACCACATACAGATACATACCATATTTTAAAAAGAGTGGTGAGACCAGGTGCAGTGGCACACACCTGTAATCTTAGCACTTAGGTGACTGAATCCAGGGTTCAAGACCAGCCTAGACAACATAGTGAGACCTTGTGTCTATTAAAAAAATTTAAAAAATTAGTCAGGCATGGTGGCATGCACCTGTAGTCCTAGCTACTCAGGAGGCTGAAGTGGAAGGATCCCCTGAGCCTAGAAGTTCGAGGCTGCCGTGAGCCATGAGCATGCAGCTGCCCTCTAGCCTGGGCAACAAAGTAAGACTCTGACTCAAAAAAAAAAAAAGTGATGAGTCTTATTGACTAATTCAGTGGTTCTCAGTCATTAACCTACTGTGGAACACCTGATAAGCTTGAGAATAATATTAATTCCCATGTCCAAAGCTGAAGATTCTAATGTAAATGGCTTGAACAACCATTGCTTGTGATTTGAGTATAGGTGGATCATGTTTCGGGGAATAATTAAAAGCAAAATCTGTAGTCCAATGGAAGTCTAGTTTTGGAACTCAGTTGTCCTATTTACATGCTGTGTGATCTTGGCCAAGTTATTTAACCTTTCTGAGTCGAGAGTTACTTTTCTGTCAGACTAGGGGTATTAGAAGTACCTAAGCTGTACTACTGCGTTGATAGAAATAAATGGACGACACATAAAAAGCACTTAGCCTAGAGTAAGCCTCAAAAATGTTAGCAATTATTATTAAGAAAGCTTGATTTATCATAAAAAATACACTGCAGAATATTCTGCTTAATGGTATCCCTTCAAGATGTGAATTTTCCTAGAGTGTGCACATCATTATTTGACTTACAGAATATTCATGGTTTCAGTGATCCAGAACTGCACCACCAAGAGGAGTAATGCTGTGGTAGGCCCCCACTCCCACGCCATCTCTCCTAAATTCCCCCCATCTCACATCTTCCTATTCTTTACCTATTATTTTTCTTAACCAGTGGCTCTGATCTGCCAGAAAAACAAAACCAAACTCAATGCTGGCTTACTATTTAAAAGAGCATCTTTATTATTTCACCAGGCTGAACCCAGTGATGAACAAAAGCATCCAATACATAGTTGTCAGCCTGGTGCTTTGGTACCACGCCTGCCTGTAACGGACTGATGAAAGTCACTCAATTGTAACCAATGTGAGCAAAGGGGAAGGGGATGGGTGGGGAGGAAGAGGTCTTGGGATCTCTCAGGGCAAACAGTCGCAAACAGTCGTAAACAGTGTGACATCAAAAATAAATTACAAAATCTAAATAGCATAAATAAATAAAAATTTAAGTTAAGAAGAGTCCCATGGTGTGACTGTTTGGCAACAAACAGTCTACAGGAGAGGTAGCTGTGGAGGTTATAGGGATTCAGCCTCCGAGGCTCAGGCTCCCATTCCCCACTGGGTCAACTGAGGTCACTGGTTCCTCTAAACTTCCAGGCCACTCCCATTCAGCTCCAGGTTGGTGACATATTCCTGGACCCAGTCCTCACTGGGGTTAGCACAGACCTGCCGACCTCTCTTGGTTAGGAAGCTGTGGAGAAAGGTGAAAGGATTAGACACTGAACAGTCCAGCAGGGGAATCCTGGGTCTGCGGTGGCCCTCCATCTCACTCTCTGTCCTGGGAAGCTCAGGGCCTTCCCGCTTTCTCAGGGATCCTCTGCCTATCTCAGTCTAGAGAGCTTCTCTCAATGACTTAGGGTGGCCCTCAGAGGATCCTGCCACCTCCTTCCTGTCCCTACTCTCTGGACTAGAACAGTACTCCCTGACTCAGTAACACCACCTGCCCATCCTTCAAGTCAGTTCACACCCTGGAGACCTGCACCCTACTACTTGAGAGGTCTGGGAAGGTTACGCCTTTCCAGGATGGCTCTACTGGCCCATCTCTGCCCCCAGCCCAGACCTCCCTACCTCCCCACAAGTGGGCAGGAAGACTGGTACTTACATGACACCTGGTTTGGAGCACTGGCTACTGGTCTCATAATAGTCAGCTATGAATTTTTGTGGAATCTGCCGGGCAATATATGTGAAGCAACAAGCTGTCGGGGTGTCAGCACCAACTGTAGAAAAAAGAAGATAATTGAGCCTGAGTCCTTTTTCAAAAGAAAAGGCAAGCCACCTTCTGTTCCCTGAGAGGCAACGTCACTGGCAGGCATTAGTGCATTCTTGCTCAGAAATGTCCCCATCTCTGTCTTTGTTTCTGTCTATATTCTTCTTTCTCTTTGACTCTGCACAGTGAGCTCTCCCTTTCTGTGGATATCTGTGATCCAGATATCCAAACAGACTGTTCTCTTATCACTCTTCGGGGAATTTTGTCTGGATAATAAGTCATACCCTGGCAAAGAGAAGCCTTGGTCATCTTTCATAAGATATCCAAAGGACAGAGCTTCTGGGAGACCTAGGGAGAGCTGGTGAATGAATGACACCACTGGGAAGTACCCAGACCTGGATTCTGCCTCACGTAAGCTCATTTGTTTTGAACCCAGTTTTTCTATCTGTATAAGGGACTGTAACTCCTCGATGCCCACCTTAACTCTCAAACTTGGGGACAAGGAGAGCTAAGATCCCTTACAGAGATGAAAAATAAAAGTCCTGAAGAGAGAGACCAAGATGTTTTGTAGCCCTTTAAGAAGTTTTCTCTTTTCTCTTGGTGGCTCCCAGGTCACAAGAAAAGATTGATATGGTCCAACCGTGGCCAGAGAGTGGGAATACCTGCAACAAAACAACACAGACTCACATGGTACAGAGAAGACCTGGTTACAGAGAGCCATCACGCTGAGGAGGACAGCAACGGCAGCTACCTTCATGATTCTGAGCGGGCGAGCAATGGAACGTAGGCTTGAGTATCAGCAGAGCCTGGTAGTGGGCACTCACGGCTGCCTGCGTCCTTCTGAAATCTGAAGCCATCTCCCCTTCTCTTTATAGGCAGCCCTGGCAGATAGGAAAATGGAATCTGGGGGCGAGAAGGGAAATTTTTAAGCATAGTGATGTGATCATGCTGCGTTGTTGCACAACCTAGGGTCCCTGGTGACCACAGAACTCAGGATATCCAAGAATAGCATCTCTGAGCTATAAGTCTCAGCTCTCAACTCATGACTGGTTCTGGTTTCTCCTGTAAGCATGAGGAGAGGGTATGTGTCAACCCAGGGCTATTCTTAGTTGGTCCCTTCTCATAAGAACTGATCTGTGCATGAGCTCTCCAGCCCCATTCCTTCCCACAGAGCTGAAACTCTGTGCTTCCTCCGCCACTCTGACCACAGATGGGGTAGAAGGGCTCATGCTGTGGAGAGTGGGACAACACCCCCCAACCAGATGCAAGGAACTTAATTAAGTAATCCCCAGCTGGAGGAATAGAAAGCATTTCAGTCACTTGGCTCTTCATCAGACAGTCATAAAATGACTAGGTCACTGGGTTAAACACTATTTATGGATCAAAAAGATACTTTTAAGTGGGTGTCAATATGTCAGGCACCTAAAAATACTTACAGCCATTAACCTAGGGAAAGCATTTCTAGGAAAGAGTTCTGTGGAAATAAACCAAATATAGAGACATCTTCAAACACAAAGGTATCTGACTCAGCATCATTTATAATTCTAAAATAATTCTAAACCTAAATTCTTCTCTATCAAGGAATGATAAAGTAAAGTATATCCACTGGATTGTTTATTCGTAAGCCCTTGAAGTGAATGATGTGGCATAAGTATGCTCATAACATCAGTGGTAAAAAAAACAAGACAGCCGGGCTCGGTGGCTCAGCCTGTAATCCCATGCTTTGGGAGGCTGAGGTGAGTGGATTGCTTGAGACCGCAGGTTCGAGACCCGCCTGGGCAACTTGGCGAGACCTCATCTCTACAATAAATCAAAAAATTAGCCAGGCATGGTAGTGCGCACCTGTAGTTCTAGCTACTTGAAAGGCTGAGGTGGAAGGATCGCCGGAGCCCAGCAGGTTGAGGCTGCGGTGGCAGGGAGCGGCCACTGCACTCCAGTCTGGGTGATAGAGTGAGACTCCAACTCAAACAACAACAACAACAAAAACCAACAAGATAAAAAATTATAAAAATTGTACACAATTTGAGAAGTTGTAGGTGTGTGTGTGTGTATTTCCATGCCAGTCCTTGGCATGAAAATAATAAAAATCATTGGAAATAAATGCCCTAAAGAATTAATAGTGCTTATATTTGTGTGATAGGACTATGGGTAATTAATTTTCTTGTTTTCTTCTTTTATCAAATTTTTCTCATTTTATTTACTGAGTATTACTTTCCTGACCAGCCCATAAATATATGAGCAAATTTTATTTTAAAATATATACAACATTATTGGTTGAAAAGTAAGTTGTTGTCAACTGTTTAATTTAAAAGACATTTTTGATAAATATGCTAAAATTTCTATTCAATGACCTTTGCTAAAATGAAGCCTTGATTTCCCATTTCTCTCAACAATTTTAAGGATCCTATATGACATTTAAATAAACAATGCCAAACTCAAAGCAGTTTTTTTTTCTTAATTTCAATGTATAATTTTAGGGTGTGAAAGAGACTCTAGCTTCTCAGCCAGATCTATATGCTTTTTCTTGCTCGTGCTTTATTATTTCAGAACTGATAAGCATACCTCATGTTTTATAATAAGAAATAGATTTAGTTATTTTTAATGGTCTTTGTCCTCTAGATGCCCTGGTCTAGTAGGGGCAGGTAGAGTATGTGAACAGGTGTAATCACAGCTCTTAGCAGAGTGTTAAGTCCTTTAGCAGAAAAAGAAATCAAAGCTCAGAACACCAGGAGGGGAAGTAGTGACCTTCCACAGGAGGATCAGGAAAGGCTACATGGGACTGGAAGGGATGAAACTTTGGTTGGGCCTGGAAAACTGCACAGGCTTTGAACATGTATGGGGGAGTGGGTGGGAGGTGGAAGCTCAGCTGATGCAGAGTTCTGGGTGTGAAACGGTGGGCTCAGAGGGAAGTGGAGGTGCTTCAGAGGAGCTGCAAAGCAGTGGGGGGAATATGGATGATGAAGCTTAATTGGGGCCAAACCAGGAAGGGCCTTGACATTCCCCAAAAGGGATTAGAGTTGATATGTTTGATACTGGAGAACAGCGAAAGGCATCAGAAAGAAGCAAAGCAAGACCACGCCTTCGGAATTCTGTCCTTCCTAAATGTCTGTAGAGTTACTCCTTTGAAAACACATGGGCTGTGTTTTCCTATGGTTGCTAATGCTGGTCGTGAGTGAGGAGAACTGAAGGCAAGATCAGGGCAATGATAGGTTTTACTGGGGCGTTGGCAGCCAAGTATCTTCCCACATTGCCATCAATTCCAAATAAAGGCATTTCTGTCACTTGTTTCATTAGAAACTCTACATCACAGAAAATGCCTCCTTTTCACCCCACCCTCTCAGCTTCCTAACCCTCAAAGATACCCTAAATTGCATTCTCTCACTCACTCTTTGGGAACCCACTTCACACTCATGACTCAGCTTCTGAGAGTTGGAATCTATGAGTTGAGGAAGGCGAGAAAAGGAAATGGAAACTGCCGAATCAGTCACTTTCTGATAATGGGTATTATCTATCTCTATGATTACAGCACTTACCACAGTGTGTTATAGTTAATTATCTATATAATTTTTCTCTTCAAAAACTTAGACCATGTCCTGTTGATTTTATTTTATTCTTAAGAAATTTGTAGTTTAATAAAGGCAATGTGAGGGGTTGAAAAAAAACTTTTATTTTGTGCTAATGATAGATTAGCAACTATGCAAATTTTATTCAACAATAAAAAATACTGAATATCACCATGTGCCAGTTTCCATAGTAGGGATTTACATGCTTGAACTTAATCTTCAAAACAGTCCTATGGTTTAGTTGCCATTATACTTTTTCAGTTTGAAGATGAAGAAACCAAAATGAATAGAGGTTAAGCAGTTTTCCAAGATCATAAAACTGATTACTAGCAGAGCAGGGATTCAAATCCAGGTAGTCTAACTCTAGGTACCACGTGTTATACTTCTTGTACCATCATATTTGATTCTCACAACAATCCTATAATGACAGATTTTTAGAATGTCTTTTCAGATTTTAAACCAACTTCAAACCATGTCATGTTGGTTCATTTAAACCAAATCCTAGCACATGATGATTATATCATGATGAGTCTCCTAATATAGTAGAAATTTCTTATAACTTTGGATTTTTTAATAAAGGTGATTTATTGAATATATAACTCTTAGTGTTTATATATTTGTAAGACTTTATCAATCCCCAAGCCAGGAAAGAGCCCCTTGCCACATGTTTTACTTAGACTGGAAAATAACATATTTGTATGCATGGTATGTGTTTAATATTCATGTGTTGAATAAATGATGTAAAGAACCTTAGGATGGTTGAGTTGGAAGAGTCTTAGACATTCCTAGGTGGATTGACATTCCTAGGTGAAATGACTTGCCCAAGGTCCCACAGATGAAATCTGTCAGTTTTATATTCCACCATCTGTGTTATTTATCAATGTATTGCCAATGATAGACACAGTACCTGACACATAGAAAAGCTTAATCAATATCTAGTGAATAAATAAATAACTTATTTGACTAACAATATGTATTATACCTAAAGTCTCACTATGGAGTTGAAATACTAATGGGAAGGGAAGGATAAGAAAGATCATGGTGCTAAGGTATTGATCTTTAGGAGACCATCCAAGATGTCTTAGGTAGTAGGGACAGAAAGTAGTCAGCAGTCAACACTGTGGGTCCTTCAGGATGGAGGGGCTTGGTTTATATCTTTGCATTCTGGCTCACTCCGGCCTCTCTGTGGCCCCATCTCAGCCCAGCAGAGCATCCCAGTGCCAAGTGCAGGGAATCCTGGCTGAACAGTTCATCCTCTTTGGTATCATTGCCTTGCACTGCTTGGCTTGCCTCTTCATTGCATGCTGCTTCCCATGCTCTAGCTCTGCCACACTGGTTTCTTTCCAGTTTCTGGTCCTGTGGCACCACTTCCTCAAGTGTCACCCTCAGCCATCTCCTTTGGCAGCAGGCAACCCATGGATGGATTCACTCACGATGCTGCTTCATTTGACCTAGGCTTGGCTTCCTTTTTTCAACTGCGATCCAAATGGCTGTGTGAGGCAGGTGTGGCCCCACCTTTCATGTAGGCAGAAACAGCACTCTGGAGTCTCCTTTCTAGCACCCCAGACAGACAATGTCTCATTGACGTAGCCCCTTGTTTCCTGGCTCTACTTCTTGTCTTTTCTCAGGCCATTTCTTGAGTGTGTGCAGCAGATCAGGGCATATGTCTTTTTTTTTTTTTTTGAGTTGGAGTCTCACTGTCGCCCAGACTGTAGTGCAGTGGCCGCTCCTGGTCACCGCAGCCTCGACCTGCTGGGCTCCGGCAATCCTTCCGTCTCAGCCTTCCAAGTAGCTGGAACTACAGGCACGTGCTACCACGCCCGGCTAATGTTTTGATTTATTGTAGAGATGAGGTCTCGCTGCCCAGGCGAGTCTCGAACCCGCGGGCTCAGGCAATTCACTCACCTCAGCCTCCCAAAGGCGCAGGATTACAGGCTGAGCCACCGAGCCCAGCAGGGCATATGTCTTGGTACTGGATTTGATCCAGTCCTCTGCCCCTTTTTCCATATTCTTTACCCAATAAAAAGTGCCCTTTCCTATCAATCTTCCAAATCAGAAACCTGGGAGTCGCTCTTGACTCCTCTCTCCTCTCATCTCCTAATCTATTTAATCACCAGCTATAGTCTATACTCAAAATTAAGTGAATCTACCTCTCACCATTCCCACTGCCATTGTTTTAGGTCAGGTCCTTACA